TGATAGAGCAGATTGAACATTTGGTTTCTGACCTCGTAGTCTTAGTACATGTAACTCAAAACGGCCCAAGATAGAACTTTGTAATTCTGAGGTAGCGACTTGTTGAACGAGGCTTCCCAGCGAGACGACAGTCTATAGCCTGACGACAAAGTGATTTGATGTTTGAACATAATGCTATATCATCAGGAGGTTGGCTACTCACCGGTTGGTCTGAGCACACGCTGGAGGGCTCGGCTTGCACAATGTTGATTTATGTACATACTACACACACACACACACACACACACACACACACACACACACACACACACACACACACACACACACACACACACACACACACATATATATATTGTGTTGCCTGTGCCGTAAAACTTACTAAATTTTTAAAAAACCTCAAAACAGCAAAAAATGTCAGAACTGTGTAACTTTCTAAGGTAGTGAAATAACTCGCTTTATAGAGAAACGGAATCAAGTCAGAGGGCAGTCTTGGATACAAGCCTATGGTTCTGTTCCCCCAGGAAACGTTTTCCCCATTCCAGAATGCAACATTCTTTGTTTTCTTCTTAGAATGTCTTACATTTGATGTTTCAAACTTTTGCCTGGTAAATTATGTCATGTATTTTTCATTTATGTCGAGGTATAGGTCATTCAGCCACTTTTTCATGATGAGAATACTTGTCTGAAGTATGTACGTTGGTGGTTGGCGGGTGCTCTTGTCTTGTGTGGCTTGCTTCCTTTTTCCTATCAAACATCTACCGTCCTTATCTCCCCTCTTTCTGTTTTCTGTTTGTTACTCCCCTGTAACACCTCTAATCTTCGGCACTCATGCGACCTTATTGTGTTGCAAGTGCCGTAAAACTCTCACTAAAACTAAAACAAAGTAAGTGCATCATGTATGACCAATATTATTGTACTCCTCCACCCCTCTCCCCCCCTCCTCTCTCTCTCTCTCTCTCTCTCTCTCTCTCTCTCTCTCTCTCTCTCTCTCTCTCTCTCTCTCTCTCTCTCTCACACACACACGCACACACACACCCTTCATTCCTCGTGGTTTGGGAGCTTTAAATAAAGATGACAATTTTTAAATAAACACCCGCCATCATTATCACATCAGTCACGTTTTCAAGTAGGACACTCCAGCATGGTGTCACCACGGCGCACACTTGTCACAGGATTATGATTTGTCATCATGCTCATGGCACTGCTATCATCATTAATGTGCCTTACATCATGTGTGTAGTGTATATCTGCGCATTATCATCTTTATATGTGATAACAATATAATATGGACTCTAACAAATACCTGTCCCCGTGGTTTTATGCACCCCGCATAAATAATAGCAAAATTTGATCTTTTTTGTGTACATAATTTTTGATTATTTTCCTTTATCATTCTTTATTCAAATTAACAGAATCGCATAATTTCACATTTTTGGGCTCATTTTCCCTAATTTCAGAATTTTTCTTGCATAAAACGTCGGGGACAGTAATACGGAGAGCCCATTACGGCTGGATCGGGCCGGTCGCCAGAAACGACACGTTTGTTTTTGAGGCGACCGAGCCGGGCAATCGGTCCGACCCACTGATCACATCCGTAATGAGCACCCCCCCCCCCCCCCCCGTATTAGTATTACGTTACGTTAACACTTTGACTTGATAACTATGTATGAAAATTTCCATGTACAGTACACTTGGTTTTCTCTGAAAACGTTGTTCCCAGACTTGCTCTTGTTGTTCTTTCTTTGTTATTGTTTATGGATACATTTTATGTGTATTATGTTGCTATATAATATAAATATTTTTTTTACTGTCAAGCCAATGTGGTCTGAATGTCCTTATTATGTATATTCGAAACATGTATATTTATTCATTGTTTTACTTGTTTTCATGTTGTAAGTTCACTTCATCCATCATATCAAGCCATCTCAAAACTCAAGTCGTTAAAGCAATACTGTGATAATGTGCCACATTGGAATTGGAAGTGACAATTTTTGTTTGACATTGTGAACAGTTTCTTGTTCTCTTATTGGTTTTATTCATATTGGAGTTATGATGTCATCAAGAAACAGTTTATTGTTGCAAACATTGCCATCAATAATAAGTTTAGTGTTATATAAAGTTACATTTTCCCATTGGATTTGTCATCAATATCTATAACGGTTTGTTGTTACTTGATAATATTGAAGACATGACGTCACCAAGAAGTAGTTTGTTGTTACATTTTCATATATCAGAGTTATGATGTCATGAATAAATAGTTTGTGAAAGATTTGATTCCCATGACCTTTCTGTTCATGTTTTCCATTGTCCTGTACCCAGGGTATGAGGGGTGGAGTAGCCGACCTTTTCAGAGAAAGATGAACAAACTCTGACTCCGACGTCTTGTGACCTTGTGGTATTTGACAAACATATCCTGGCAATGGAATTGTGACAAGATGCTGGGCTGCTCAGACTGAGGGCCGAAAAAAAAAGTTCTCAATGAGGACCCTCCTCCTCCTCCTCCCCCCCCCCCCAAAAAAAAAGCAACAACAAAAAAACAACAACAACAAAACCGTCTGGATACATATAAAATATACGAAGACCACATTGAAAAAAACAACAAAAAACAATCAGTGACCTAAACTCGGAATGGTTGAGTTACTGTGTTAAGCATGTAGCATGTAGGGGAGCCTACAATCTTTATAGTTTACTTTGAAAACTGTAAAACCAAACAAAGGACTCCAGTCCAGAATTTGAGAGGTTTTTTTAAAAAGAAAGAATTCAAAGAATAAGGTTTTTAAACTTTAACCCCCCCCCCCCAAATAGACCCACCTCTTCGTGGTGGGGGGGGGGGGGGTAGTACTCTTCGAATAGGAAAAGAAGAAGAGGAAGCTAACGGATCAAGGGGTGACCCCGAAAAGAGACATATTACTTCACTATGTATCTTACTCTTTCTATTTATTGTTTTACTTTATTACATTTTATTATTATTATTCTCATTATTATTATCAATTTTCTCTTCTCCTCTCTCCATGGACAACCTTTCTTTGTCCTGGAGTTGGGACGGGTATTGGTTGGGTGGGAAGCAGAGGTTCATTGTCAGCACTGTACTGGATGAGACTTTACGTAGGGAATACCCCGTTACATTCATGTATTAAGCATGCATTTATCGGAGAGCCTTATGACTGTGGAGAAAGTGCAGAGACCATTTGCGTCTTGCTTGTTGACAACATTAACCCTCAGGGACCTGCCATGCCTTCCCCTACCCCCATCTCTGGGATGAGAGGACTTGGTTGCTCTGGGAGGGGAAGTCTAGCTTCCAATTGGTGTTATTATTACTATTACTATTATACATGTGTTATACTTTTTGTATTTCAGCAACACACAGCAACTGTGCTCTTAATAGCGTCTTTATCTTCTTTATCTCCCCAAACAACTTCTCAATATAATACAACAGACACCAACATGCCCATTCATTTTTCTTACGATCTCTCAATGATGGAGTTGGCTTTTTGTTTGTGGCATTGCACCTACAGCCACTGCTTTATCTCCTACCCCGGGATGGAAGGAAAATCACAGAACCACCAGTTTTAGATGCAACAAACTTTAAAATTAAATTTTCTCTTCATCTTTATGAGAGTTTTTTCATTGTAGGTTCATATATAACGGTAGCGGAAAAAGTCTACTTCTGAGTTGATGAGCTCTGCCACTAGGAACAGAGTAGGTCCTCCTCAGAAGGGGGTGTAAACGAGAGAGAAGAACTTGACAACTGTCAGATCTGTGGACATGAGCATACCATAGACGGGGGACTTTCATGGTCAAGAGGTTATATCGTCTCCACTTTCTTCCCCCCCCCCACCTCCTTTGAAACCTTCCTCTGGGCTCCTGACTCTTCCTGCAGCCTTCCTACTGCCTTTGCTTGGTTCCTTCTTACTGCTGTCTTTCAGCCACACCCTTGATCTTCTGGTAGGTAAGATCTAACACTTAGCCTTCTCGGACAAGGTTGAAAAATCTCGGAGGTCCCGAGTGCAAGTTAAAGATCCCATGGTGATCCAGTTGATAAGAGTAGGCTTCAGTCGCCACCCAGGCAAAATTCAAAATTTCCTACCAATTGAAAATGTTTAACGTGTCCGGCATGCTCATATGACCGTATGCAGTTGAGAGCGCCGTAAAACACTTGCCCCCCCCCAAAAAAAAATAGTCATAGATGAGCTGGTCTTTTCAGAAGGATTTCTCTTGTCAGAAGAAGCTGCTGCTGGACTTTCTGTCTTTCAAACCAAACTCCCAACACATGTCAATGCAGGACTTTTCAACAGCCTCTAGAGGATGCGAGTTTGAGTTAACAGAATCATAATGGCCATTTAGTGTACGTAAAAAAGTAAGATAGACAGAAGAAACAGAGGAAAAGAAAAGAGGTAGGACCTCTCCAGCGACACCCTTCACCAACCAGCCCCCTCTGGGTCATGGAAGCAATTTACAGCAGAACATGACTATAGCGGCATCCATGGGACCATCTCTACAGCGGGACCTTACCCAATTCCCATTTTTTTTGTCTATGTAAACTCAATTACCGGTACCCATGTTTGGGTTCAACAGGGCAAGGAAAGGCCCGAATTTGGATACAGCGGTAGAGATCGAGCTAGCTCTAGCCGGGAAAAGGGGGTTGGGGGTAGCAGGTGAGCTCCAAACAGACAGTCAGTGGTGCAGCGTTGTGATTGGCCAGTCCAGTGATGAGTGAGGTGGGGCAGGCGGCAGAGAGAGATGGTGCAGAGAGACGCGTTATGTGAGCCACTCCAAAAGTGATGTGCCATAGCCCTAGGCTAGGCCAAAAAAACAATAAAAGAAGAGGAGAGCATGTAGTGTGTGATTTTTCTCTAATTCCCCTTTACATTCCTATAGCAGGAACTTGTCTACAGTGGGATTTTTCTTCTGGAACTAAAAAGTCCCGCTATAGCCATGTTCTACTGTATTTGCAAAAAAGAAACAAATACACATGCATAAATCAAGAAAAGAGTTTCTCATATTGTTTCGACACATGGCACTGCCAGTGACACTGTTTAATGTTTTATGCACACAATCACCCAGACACAATATCATTAATGAGCAATGACACTGTTTAATGTTTTATGCACACAATCACCTAGACACAAGATCATTAATGAGCAATGACACTGTTTAATGTTTTATGCACACAATCACCCAGACACAAGATCATTAATGAGCAGTGACACTGTTTAATGTTTTATGCACACAATCACCCAGACACAAGATCATTAATGAGCAGTGACACTGTTTAATGTTTTATGCACACAATCCCCCAGACACAAGACACAAGATCATTATTAATGAGCGGCGACACCATCGTACACCGGGGTTCGCAGGAATGTCACACCGCTCAGGTTCTGTCTCACAGCCTGCTCTCTTTGAATCTAGAAAGTACAGATGAAGAATGAAAAATGTAAATTTAATAGGATCATATATGAGGCAGTGTGGTGAAATCAAGCGCTCGTCAAAATAATAATGAAACTGGAGAAACTGTCATTTTTGTTGCCGGTTTGGCAATATTTTCGTTTTTTGGCTCAACACCATTTTTGTCCAATTAAGTACAAATTAATGTGTGGATTTTACTGAAAAACGTTGACTAAAGGCACAAAAATGTAAGTTTTCAGTTCCCACGAACTAACAAGCTATGGAAATAAGCAAACTTTGGCGGCCCTTTTCTCGCTAATACTACCGCTGAAACCAGGCAGCCACACCTCCTTCAATCTCAAATATCTCAACTTCTATTCAAGATGGATGGGTATTTTTTTCACAAATGGCAAGACAACTCTGCAAGCTTCAGGATGATACCAATTACCCCACATGCCCAAAAAAAGACGAGCGCCTGATTCCACAGCGTCATGATACATATATCTACAAAAGTCTACATTCTTTTGTTGAGAAATTTGGCATGGATCAGAGAAAGTACTGAACCCATGCGAAGCCAGTGTCCTAGTACAAAAACTGGTAAAAAGAGATACATTTTTTCTACTTTTTCTTAGCTTTTCCAGTAGTCGGATGTTGATTCTTGAACCTTTCTGCAACAAAACACTCTGTCTCTTGTTATTTTGCCTTCCTGAGATGAATTCTTTCTGCACATAGCAGACATGCACATGGTGAAACAGGCAAATAGCCAACAGATTTTCAGGTCCAAATTCTTTTTTTTTTACACGATATTCTAAGTGTTTAAAACACATGCATAGCAAAATTTGTACACAATGGAAATATTTCTGCATCCTGCCAGTTTTGTTATGTGTGTGCTTGACTTTACTGAAATATTCATTTTTCACGTCAAAAGGTTTGTCAAACGCAAAATTTGACATCAGCACAGAAATTTGAGCTTCTGTGGTGATTTTCTTACCTAAGGTAGTCAGTTTTTCAGTTACTCTATCCCTACTTTGAGTGGTCACATGACAAAAGGTAACTGTGGTGAACTCACATTGCTGAACCATCTTGATACATTGATGTGTTTTTCTTTTTCCTGGAAAGTCAACCGGGCCTGTGAATGAGATTATGACATAGATTACATCATGAATCATAGGCATGGATCAGTTTGGTTCAAACCAACATTTACTCAGGAATATACTAGGTCAGACACAGATTCCCTGGCACCAATATCTCAGGGGTGAGTCTCCTTGCAATTGTAGTCAGTGAGAACAAAACCTAAAAAAATAACATTAGAAGTCAGCAGCCCTAAGGGAACTTGGGCAGTACTGCAACTATCTCATAGGGTGTGTTTGTGTGTGTGTGAGTTTGAATATTTGAATAAAGAAAGGCACATTCACAAGCTAATGGTCATTTAGTGTAGGAAAAGCAAAAACTGATAGGAACAACAGGGGGAGAAGGAAATGAAGTTCAATCTGTCAGTGGCATCCTCTAGCCACATACCACCACCCTCTTTTGTCAGTTTTGTGGTGCATCTTGCAGGAAAATGGTTCATTCATAAGTAATGACAAATGGTTGTCAACTTCCCAGTGTCATCACAAAGCATTTGTTTCATCATCTGACATATATTATATTTGTGAAAGTTTGTCACTTTGGTCGCCTAAAACTTCCGAACCACTTAACTTTTGAGTTCGAAAAAAATTACGGTGGTTCAGAATCATTTGAAGGGTGCACAGTTATATTAAAGAGTGTGAAGTCACTGTAGTTTAATTTTCAGTTTTTCATTAGTATAGTTTAGATCTAATCTGGGGAACGTCCGTCTTCAAAGATGCCATTGTCAACAAGTGAGGCTTCTGTTCACGAGCAGCTAGTCATTTTATATCATCACCAGCACCATCAGCCTCAACTGCAGCAGCCCTAAAGTACAAACAAAATCTGCAAATCTTCATCATCACCACTAGCATTGCCATCTACACCTTCTTTTCATCAAAAAAGCAAAACATTTACTTTTAATGTGTCTTTGACTAAAAGGGAAAAATTCTTAGTTACATATCAGTCTTACATGGAGAAGCACACTTAAATTTTAAAAAACTGACGACTTTAGCGCCTCAAAAAAAAACAAAAAAAACAACAATCTAGACACCAGAAGAAACAAATAGGGAAAAAAATTGAGGAAAACAGATACAGTCTTACTCGGAGAAGCACATTTTTATTTTAAAAACTGACAACTTAAGTACCTCAACAACAACAAAATAATCTAGACACCAGAAGAAAGAAATAGGGAACAGGACGGAGGAAAAGGACAGATCAGCCTGTAAATAAGAAATGTTCAAAACACTCACAAACACAGCGTGTAGACTGTGGAACATGAAGACGTCAGCCACTGTCAGTCTGTCAGCCACAAAAAAAACTTTGTCCTGGAGATAAGCATTCAGCTCCTGTAGAAAGAGTATTGAATTCACCATTTGTATATCTCTCAAAGATAAAAAACAAAACAAAACTGGTCATACTTTTTACCATGTGTTGCGGAACACAGCACTACACCACAAATTAAAACGACATTATAAAAATGATAAGCGAAAACTCTTACCGTGGATGATGAGTATTTTAATTTCAATAAATGTAGTGCATTTTATATATTTCCTGCAGTGAGTAGACCAAGGCTCTGTCTCCTACTCTCTCTCGTCCGATTGTCCAACTGAAGGCCGTGATTGACTGATTATATACACTTCTCGTGAACTATCCTACACGGGATCCCCTCATAGCACAAGATCTCCGTGTTCCTCCGCACGAGAACCCGCGCCCCGAGTAAATTTCGTTACTTGTGTCCACAACACCATGCACTGGACATACACTGGTCATACTTTTTGTCAGAGTCACACGCATAAGCCATAAGGACAGTCAACATACAAAGTCTTTTTGACAGACCATACAGTCTACTAAAATAAAATACAAAATGCAAATAACTAGGTCTAAGTAGAGTCTAGCACACACACACAGTAGACATGCACATAGTGAAACATGGTCATAGTGTACAGATGTTACAATCCCAAATTTTTTCTTATATATATATAATATAAATACAGGTATTTTCTATGTATTTAATCACACCCGTACGTCGTGTTTTAGTATCGTATCCATATGGAGTGGGGAACTCTGTGCCACCACTTTCCGAGGAAATTTACTCGTTAATCTGATCCGTTCGATTTGCATAGCAGTCTGTCAAAATGATTTTTTGAGAAAAACTGAAAGTTTCAAAGAGAACTTCACACTAAAAGAAGTATTCTAAAATGAGAAGAATACAGCCACGGGGGTACAAAATGACCCCAAGGCGTACAGGTAGGGTCAAACTTTTACGCATACACAGTGAAATTAGTTAACAACAAAAAGACTTCTGTGTCCCACCCATTTTGCTATGTGTATGTTAAACTGTATATCTTGTAAGCTTTAAACTTGATAAGATGTATCCTAGAGCTGCAGGTAGACCTCGGAAGAAACAAATAGGGGAATAAATTGAGGAAATGATAGATCAGCCTGTAAAGCAAGAGTCTCTAAGCACTCCCAAAAACGGCGTGTAGACTGTGGAACATGGGAACGTCAGCCACTGTCAGTCATTGATTAGCCCTATTACTGGTAAGATTTCGGGCAGGTTTTAGGGGAGAAATGTCGGAATCGTAAGTTTTTTCAGCGTATTTTAGATAATGTATGTCTCCATCAAGGGTTAAGTTTCAATTCTGATAACAGCCTTCCAGACACAGAGTTAAGACTACTAGCCCTCTCCAAAAGTAACTATACAGTTCAAAAATAATTTAAAAATTACATTTACACTAGCTTTGGCATTCATTCACATGAACACAAGAGAAAGCATGGATTGAAGAAACATGGACAATGGCAGAGAATTCAGCAAAGTAATATTTTCACCTACCTTTACATCCCTTGGTTGTAGTGTACCTGGTATGTCACGAAAATACGTAATTCCTAGCTTTGTGCCGTACCATGAAAGTCAGTAAAATTACGCCTTTTCTTGACGTACCAGATAGGTCATAAGGTAACAAAGGGGTTGAAAAGGCAGTAAATTTAACTTTCGATTTTGACTTTCTAATTTTTCGAAATTATCCATGGTAAGATGGGGAATACAGAATAAGGAAAGTGATACTATCAAAGACCTGGGTCTGATATGTCATGAGTAGGCTAGATATATATATAGGAAATGAGTCCACTAACTCAACTGTGAGACATGAGACTACTGTCCTGGCCAACAGCTGAAAATCAGTGCTGACTGTAGGTATGATACCCCCTAGCAAGTAAGGGGTTAACACGAGTATTTCTCAAAAAATTACCTTAAGAACCATTCTCACAGCCTCCTTATCGGTAGACACTTCCGTCCTGGCATATTCTATCCACTGCTCAGCTGCTATACGCTCCTCCAAGCTCAAATCTGAAAAGTGTATATTACAAAATATATCATTACATTTAGTCCAGCAAATGTGTGACATACCGTAAGACAATACCATACAAATACACTTTAGCAATCAATATTCCCTGTAAGCCACACATCAAGACAGCAAAATGATGAAACAATTTCTTTTCATCATTAAATTGATCTTTACGAGACAAACTTTTCCAAGAGAACTGCCCAAAACAGTATTGCAGTTCCATGTCACCCTATGATGAACCTCAAATAAAAAGAAGCACCTTATTTCTGTAGTTTTTAAACTATTCTGTGAGCATCAAGCCCTGTCTCACACATTCTTTATACTAGACTATTTTGTCAGGATCTGAACAGAATGAAAGACATAAATTGTATCATACATAAAACACTGCAAATATGATCAAATATTATAGTGGTAAGGAGCTGGAAATGTCCACAGAATTTGCTTGGAGACTTGTAAACTTGTTGTAACCTACATTAAAAGACATAAATACAGAGGGACAAATTATTAAACTGTTAAAGTACAGCGGCACATTACTTTTTTGCCGTACGACAATGCTATACTACAATACTGGACACATTACTAATTTCTCAAGTGGGTCCAACACAGCGTGGTTCAGATAGGATGATTTTCGCTTGGCAAGACCTTTTAACTGCATTCATGGATGAGAAGAGAACAGAAAACAATTGAAAGGAGGAAAACCCTTCCCTCTCCAACAGCCAGAGGGTTTGTGTGTATATCAATGGCACCCCACTAGCTGGGGAGAAGTACCCACAGTTGGGGGGACTTTGCACCTCACTGTGTCCCCCTTAAGTGCAATTTAGGCTATTCTTGAAAGAAAAGAAAATGTCAAATTTGACAGTCAAACAATCAGCCATACATACTTTTGAAGTCATCTGACACTCTCAGCAAGTGCTTTGCAATGTTGGACAGTCCAGAAATCTTTTTGCCATTTCCAGCATCTAGAATGGGATCCTTCTGTCAAAGGAAAAAAAAGTCTTGAAAACATTTGTAACTCTGTAATTTTAATACGCAGTGGCTACGTTCACAGCGCCCTGAATGTAGTATGCAATTTATTAAGAATGGTCTTGCTCACTTCACCCCCTATCCTTTTCCCTTTTGCTTCTCCTTTTTTTTCGACACCCCTTTTTCGCAAAATCGTAATGTATACCAAAATTTTAATTATAACAAAATAACTAAGAAATTGGTAGTAAATCTGACTGCAGAAATGATTTCTACACTCAAAAACACATCGGGTAGCCAAGTTTCTCTCGAACACTCCGATAAGTTACCGAGATATCGTCGATTTTCTTACAGAATCTGCTACTGCGTGGTCCACTTTTTAGGAGTATTTTCCTATATGTGTGGGTCATCCATATTTTGCCGACCTTTACAACCCCATAACTTTATTTATTTATGAACCGATTCTTAAAATTCAAGAAGCATAATTCTTAGGATTGAAAATTCTTTCTCAGGTACCAAAATACAAAGGGCGAAAGTGAAAATTTAAATTTTCATTGGCATTGCTAATCATTGACATGGAGCTAACGAGAGCACACTACACCGGCTTCTGATTGGCTAAAATGTATCAATAAAACGACATCACGAGGACGATAGCCTACACCAGCTTCTGATTGGCTAAAATGTATCAAGATTTAGAGAGTCATTTAGACTACACGTATCTATTTTACAATGACTTGATTAACAAGGCACTAGAACAATATGTCCTATAGTTGACACAGGGGGTAGAAACTAGTGAACTACTGCAGTTTTTATCTGTACTGATCTTTGCCTGGCCTCTGCTCTACAATACAGATCACCAGCAGACACTCGCTCGCTCAATGGCGACCTAGATTTCCGACTACATTCCACTAGGCCTAACGTCATATTACCAAATTAGGTACATACGTCACTATATACAGCCAATCAGAAGCCAGTGTACTGTGCTCTCGTTAGCTCCATGTCTGCCATTGACTAGATAGAAGTGGTACATTTTTACTTTCACTCCCGCACACAGAAGCACTGCTTCGGGGGTCAAACTGCAGTACTTGTTTGCTGCAGATCACACATTAATAAAGCCAAACCAAAGCCACTATTTAAAACTGTCGCAAATCAATTATTTTCAGGAAATGTTCAAATCTAACTGTAAAATATCATATTATGGGTCAAAACAAGGGGGCATGCCCCCCTGTATCCCCCAGATTTTCTTCCCCCCCCCCCCCCCCGGAACCCCCCCAGATTGGTCCAAAGCACGTTTATCTCGATTAAGAACAATCACATATATTTCAAAAACTATTAATTTGTGACCGAAATGAAGTTGATATTTGTGTTCAACGCATCAATATTTAGTACAAAATGGACAACTGGTAGATTCTAGCTAAGTTTGAGAAGGGAGGGAAAGTAAAAAAAATAGGCTACCGACTTAGTTTTGACTTGCATTGATCTTCCTATCATAATCAACTGAGGCAAACTTAGTCTTCAGATTTTCCTTCTTATATCGCCGCACTGCGTAATATCATTTATAGGGGACTGACTGAGTCACTCAGTGTAAGACAGATTATGAAGACGGTAACAAGTGCTAAAAAAGTAAGTTCACACTGATTGACTGGTCGAACAGCTGGTTGTGTCAATCAGTGTCATCATTCGTCTATCTCCGCAACGGGGCTGAGAACATCACTCAAACTGGGGTCAAACTTGATACAAACAATACACATACATGTTGAACTGACTAAATTTGAAATCAAAGATTAGAAAAGAAAAAAAAAACCCTACGCTTTTGTTTGTTTTCAGCTGTTTGCCACAAACGGCTTGGAAATATCCCACAGTTGCTACCATGGGGGCCGCCATGTTGTTTCTTGCTATTAACAATTAACAGTAAACCAAGGAGTTTAGAACTAATGGAGCCTCCTCTCTCTCTTCGCGGCGCCACGAGCAGTACGCCGCGGTGGGGGTCAAATATGGCCGCCGAGTGTGGGCTAAATCTCGAACTGTGGCGGTTCTTTTTATAGAATCTTATCGGGCTGGGCCACGTTGTGGGGGTGGGCGGGGTGGGGGAATGCACGCAAGGAAGAGGGGATGGAGCAGGGATGAAAGAGGAGGGGCGGGCTTTGGGAAGGGACGAAGGAGAATGGGAAAAATTAAATAAAAGAGAGATGGAGAAAGAGAGAGAGAGAGAGAGAGAGAGAGAGAGAGAGAGAGAGAGAGAGAGAGAGGGAGAGAGAGAGAAAAAGAGAGAGTGAGAGAGAGAAAGACAGACAGACAGACAGACAGACAGACAGAAGAGAGAGAGAGAGAGAGAGAGAGAGAGAGATTGTGATCAACTGACGGATAATGACAGGGAGAAAAAAAAAAGATTCTGTGTGTGATACGGACTATTCAATTCTTTAAGAGTTTTATGTTATAATCTAGTTTAAAAATCAGAAAGATGTGTAAAATAAGAAGAAAACTTGTCCAAGTAACATAAAATTATCAAGCATACCAAATTATAAAGATAATCTTTCAAGATGCCAAAATATTTAATTATTAGAAATGGATAAAAATATACTTTAAAACTGAATTTAAAATATTATAATTGCATGATTCTAGGCGTGTGCCATAACTAACTTTATGTGTAATACGGGGTGCCCACTACGGATGGGATCGGCTGATCAGCCCGATCGCCCGACTCGATCGCCTCTTTCAGTTTCAGGCGAT